CAGAATTTCACCTCGAGGCCAAAAACTGAGAAACGGACTCGATTTATTACATTGGAATTTTTTTTCACCTTGCACTGCTTTGCATCTTAAACAGAATGGGAAAAATGTGAAAATGTGTAATGGGGAGTCGTGGTCTGCTTTGGGTTTTTTTTTGTTTAACTCAGGATTTTATTTTAGTCCATTGCTTTTCTTATTAGCTGTGGAAGATTGTTAAGAATATTGTTTGTTTTTAAGAGAAGAAGTTATTCTGACGTATGAGGGTTTCTAAGAGGAGACATATTGTACTGGCCTCGCACCAAAGTACTTAAGCGACTTGCTAGTGCCATATGAACCGGCCTGGACTCTGAGGAGCACAGGAGGCTGCCTCTTACTGGTTCCAAGAGTCAGAACTAAATATGGGGAGGCAGCGTTTGAGATTTATGCAGCTAAAATCTGGAACAATCTTCCTGAAAATGTGAGGCTAGCATTTACTCTGGCAATTTTCAAATCAGGGTTAAAAACTGTTCTTTTTAGCTGTGCATACTAGGGGTGCAACGGTTTGAAAAAATCACGGTTCGGTTCGTACCTCGGTTCAGAGGCCACGGTTCGGTTCATTTTTCGGTTCATTTTTCTTTTTGAATAAACCCAGCTCATGTGGACTCGGCACCTGCTCTGACTGCCCCCCTGACCTAGAAATGAATTAAGGTGAAGGAAATGGATGGATGGGTGGATGGAAGGCATATTCCATCCATCCAATTATGTCTATTTAACATAATTAATGAAAAACAACACAAAGTGCAACATAAGAAGGCACTTTATGAGGATATTTACCCTCATATATTACACCACCTTCCTGATTCTCCCAAGGAGGGGGTCCATTCTGGGCCCAGCCTCATTCACTGCATTTATTTAATTTTTGGCATTATCAGTTGTGACTGGAATATTAGTACTGGGCCTTTGTCTTCCATTCCTCTGCTGCTTGTGTCAGAACCTTCGCTGTGTGACTGTGTGACTGTCGTAGAGGGGGCGTGTCTGCAGCGCCAGACTTTTCATCTCCCAGTCTGCGGTGATGAAGTGAGCGGTTCCGCTCATGGATCTATTATAGGTTCCGCGGGACGTCCAAACGTCAGTCGTGAACGCAGCTGAGGATGCGCGGGAGAGTGGACTTTAGCCCGGTCTGACTGTGCGTAAAGGAGCTGCTTAAATGCCGCGACAATAAGCGGTCGTTGAGACGCTTTTTTCACTCATGTCTTTCTTGTGCCACAGTGCTTACACACTGTGACAGTTTTGTCGAATATGAATCATCAGTGTAGTTACAGTGAAGCCAAAATGCTCTCATACTGGGGATTTAAATGACGCAGGGCTTTCAAGCATCTCCGTTCCTCCGCTCGCAATGACCGCGCTGTGTGTGGACTGAACAACGCGCGCACAACTTTTTTTTCATAAATCAAACCGCGGATCACGTCTGTACCGAACCGAAGACGTTGAACCGAACGGATCACGGATCAGTGATGAACCGTTGCACCTCTAGTGCATACGGCTGAAGGATTTTATTGATACATACATACTCTTTTTTAATTCATTGTGGTTATTTATTATTTTAATCCCGTGTGTGCTTTTAATGTTTTAAGGTTTTTTCATTACTTGTGATTTTATTCTGTTTTTAATGTATTTATTGTTTGTATATGTAGATTTTGATGTTTCTGATTTGTCTGATATTATGTGGGTTGTGAGGCGCTTTGAGTGGCCTTGTGTTGGAAAGGCGCCATACAAATAAAGTTGATTGATTGATTGATTAAGCAAAATTCCCTTACCAGCAAAACACATTTTTTGGCACACATTCTGTCCCTGCTCCTTTTGTCCAAATCCTTTCTCTATTATTCAGAATCATTTTCACCTCCCGAATTAGTTCTGGCAATTTGAAATACTGTTCCTTACAGTTGCATGGCTCTCTGCAGCATGCAATGTTTGAGGTTGAAAACACTAACACCTTCCTTTAAGTATGGGAAGTAGGGAATTACATATATCTTCTGATCCTGTTTGCAGATGTTAATACCAGTAGTCTCATTAACATCAGCATTGAAATAATCCAAATAAAGTAATTTCCCTTTGCACTCAATGTTGTATCCTTTTGTATGTTAAAAATATATTTAATCAGCTTGTAAATTTCTCCTGTGTGAGATTAATAAAGTACATCTTATCTTAATTCTCTTACATGGCCAAATCAAGAAGTAAATTACCAACTTAACCTAAAATGTCAAAACTACCAAACATCTTGAATATAATTTCATGAATAAATGATGAAGAGAAAAAGGCAGACCGAACCTTTTGCACCTGTACTTCTTCTTCCTGTGTCATCTCTGCTCAAACACTGTAAAGTGGTGTCCATTGGGTTGGCCTTTTATTCCAGCTTGTTGTTAATGGCTTGAACCTGGCGTTTATAATTGTCTTCTGCAGTGCAATTGATCTTTTAAGGACAACCTTTTGGAAGTTTTAATTTTCTCTTCGATTACATCATCGGAACGCAAATGCCACTTGTAGTAGGATTTAGTCCGGCTCTGCAAGCGATTTGTTTTCATTAGGAACCCTTTGAAATGCTGCCCTTTTTGTTGATTTACTGTCACAATTGTAGAGTAAAGTGCTTAGACTTCTACGATCTTTGCTGTTTACACTGTCTGTCAGTGAATGTAGTTAATGTTGTTAATATTTTTGAAATGCATAAGTGACAGGGGAGCACATTGCTGCCGTTGGCTAAGCACTTCCTCATGCAAAATGTTGGAGCCATTTTAATCATGGTCGTAATGTGGATTGACAGATGGCTTTTTCAGTAAAATTGCGGTACTAGTGTGTCTAAATTGTAAAGATTGTGCGTTCCATTGGCCCCTTAATTAGACTTTTCAACTCTATAGTTCCAATGTTTTTGATGTGGTGTAGCTCGAGAGAGAACGTATTTACTGATGGTGTTTATGAAAGCGGTTTCCTTGCTCCAAGTGAATTTTCTTTTGGTGAAATTATGTCTTACCTGGGCGGCACGGTGGTTGAGTGGATAGCACTCTTGCCTCTCAGCAAGAAGGTCCTGGGTTCGAATCCCGGTTGGACCAGGGCCTTTCTGAGTGGAGTTTGCATGTTCTCCCCGTGTCTGCGTAGGTTTCCTCCGGGTGCTCCGGTTTCCCCTACCACTAAAAATATGTACAATAGGTCTGGCATGTGCCTCCTGTACTGGCGACCCCACTCCCAAAAAAATAACAATTGTAAACCGCTTTGAGACTCCGATGTGCAGTGAAAAGGCGGTATATAAATAAAGATTACTTACTTACTTACTTACCTGTTTTGCATTTCTCAATAATCTTATTCCCTAAAAATATAAATGTTTTGAAAATGGCGGATAGGGCTAACGTCACCATATATTTTCTACTTGATTGGAAATTATTTAACATCCTAAAACATAAAATGTCAAAGTAAATAGTCTCATAATTTTTGATAAGCCAAATGCATCAATCTAAAATGAAACCAAGTCTGAACCAGGGCTGAGTCAGTAAACCATGTTTTCCATTTGCAGTATTGTTAATGTCAACTTTTAGTGCTTCACATGCACAGAAGAAAGATACATAGATAATAGATTTAAATACGCACAAACACATGTAAATCAGTAAAACCTAGTTGGTCTTTAAAGCTAAGCCCTACTAATGTGCCGGGTCTCCTCTGGTTTTGAGACGAGACCAAGTTTTTCTGACCTTACTAATCTGATAGATTAACATATACACACACTACCGTTCAAAAGTTTGGGGTCACATTGAAATGTCCTTATTTTTGAAGGAAAAGCTGTAGATAACTTTAAACTAGTCTTAACTGTAAAGAAATACTCTGTACATTGCTTATGTGGTAAATGACTATTCTAGCTGCAAATATCTGGTTTTTGGTGCAATGTTGTAATTGCTGCAAATGGAGGATTCTTTGACGAAAGCAAAGTTGGATGTAAAACAAATCTTATTTCAAATACAAATCATTATTTCTAACCTTGTCAATGTCTTGACTCTATTTTCTATTCATTTCACAACGTATGGTGGTGAATAAGTATGACTTTTCATGGAAAACACTTGGGTGATCCCAAACTTTTGAATGGTAGTGTATGTCTGCAAATATAACGGCTCCGTCAGACGGCTCATTCTATTTTCTTTTAACTCATTTTTAATCATTTGTTTTATTGAATTGCATTGTCACTATTGTTATAAATGAAACTGAAATTTAAACTGAGATATACAGCTGCATAGGCCAGTGAAGTCTGGCCAGCACAGGGGTAGTGTGCTCTCTCTTACTAGTGTCCATGTGAGCGAGCGAGTGGTTCTCCACCTGCTGAAGGCACTTATATATTGATATATTAAATGATAAAGAGCCACAGACAGAAGCGTGTTATGGTACTAATAACTCCACAAAGTTTGCTCTTAGCTCAATCTCGTCATTAACGGTCCATCATTTAAAACACACAAACATCACAGAGAACTCTCGCATCGCTAATAACGTCCTTACGCACCATTGAAAACCATTCCCAACTCCCCTCGCAGCCGTTTTCACAGTCCACCTTTGTTTTGTAGCTCTGCACCAGTCCAATGCGTTCCACTGGGGTTTGCGTCTCCCCCCAGCTCTGCTCACTGATCACTAATGATGATTAATGTGGACTGGGCTCCTATTGGCAGCGCTCCGTTATTGGCGTTCTGACAAGCCTGTTAAGATGGATAACTACACCGGGCCGCGCATGTTCGTGCAGGCCGGGAGCAGCGGCAGCAATGGGGCCCCACACTTTAGCGGCGCATTCAATTGATCTGCGTGTCTGCTGAATGAGAAAAATAGATTTGTGGGGAAAGCTGAAAAACAAGGCTTAAATGAAACTTAAGTGCCTGGGTTTGTGGGTTTGTTGAATCACTTTGGGGCCGTGGAGGATAAATTGTTATTTATTCGGCAAACTCATGCAGAACAGCGCGTTTTCTTGTGTTTTGAGAGCGGTTCTTTCTTTATTTGTGCAGGAGATGGTGCGGCGAGGGGAGATCCTGGACGACGGCATGGAGGATGAGTTTTACCTGCGAAGGCTGGACGCTGGGCTGTTTGTGCTACAGCTGATCTGCTACATCATGGCAGAGATCAACAACTCAGAAATAGCACAAGTACTTGAAATGTTGTTACTTTGGGACTGACTTTATGTCTACAGTCTTGAACACAACAAGCAAGCAAATGTTTGAATTGATAATAATGAGGATGTAGTCAAAAGAGTCTAAAACAGGAGTGCCAAACATGACTCATCATGTTTACTGGCCCGTGGAATGTATTATCCTCTAATGGGCAACTATGGCACGTTAGACATCATTTTAAAGCAAGAATGCACCTTGATCATTCAGTTTACTCTTGGGTTTACACTTAACCCAAAAAGCAATTTGTAATATGGTAACAAAACCAATCACCACAACCATCTTTGGATATTATTTGGTAGTTTTTACGTTTGAGTTGAACCAAAAGTCATGTTAATTGAAAGTACTAAGTAATCCTTTGGTGAAAATACCCTCATTATGGCAAAGAATTATGACTAAAAATAACCACAGATGCAGTAGATGAACTTTAAACAAACTTTCCATGACGAAAACTATGGACACCTTGGTATAAAAGTATACTCTTAAAACGTTTTGCCACAAACCAAGTCTTTTTCCTATAGTCCAACTGACCTTAATAAGTTTGAGGTCTCTGCTCTAAAAGAACTGGTGTGGGCTTTTCTTGGGGGTGTTTGGGTTCTATGGTAAATCTAAAATTCTATGTTTCTCTTCAGTTGCAGCAAAGAGTGCAGCAGATTCTGAACGTGAGAGGAGGCTCTGTGAAAGTGATAAGACACATCATGAGAGGTGAGTAACTTTCACATGGCCGTTTCATGATGCATATATTGTATGAACCAGAGTCCCCAAGATCATTTTTCTGGAACAGAGGTGGGCGACACTAAAAAGTTGCTAAATATTTTAATCACGGCAACAGCCAACTACCAATGTTCACCCAATCACTGAGAAACTTCTGTCGCTGTGATAGAAACAGGTTTCTTAATGGTCTCTAATCTTCACTTCTATCTGCATTCTGCTTTGTGCTAAAAATAGCATATTATCAATTATCTTAATTTGTTAAGTTTGTCTCCATAGCTGCAAGTTGATTGAATTTGCATTTTTATTTTTTTATCATTTTAACTTTTTTATATTTACTTAATAATAATAACTAATAATAACCTGGATTCAGACGGTGATATACGGCACTTATAGATTGACGCGCGGGTGAAACTCTACAATTTCGATAACCAAATTAGTCGACCAAGGCATCTTTACACATTTCCAAAATCCAAAACCTTTCAGATAAATCCTGGATACATAGAAAAAACTCCAGACCTGGTAAAAACCAAGTCCAGAGAGCAGAGTGCACAGTGGAACAGCCTGGCGACATGGAAAAGTAACAAACATAAAAACCTGTAATGAAGCCGCCTGAGTAATAAGTCTGTCTGGGGGAGGAAGGGAATGGAAGGTGCTGCTGATGGTAAAGTTTATTCACCAACAAATGAATTATCAAGATTGTTTCAAACTATTTTATTAAATAATTGTAGTTTTAGCCTCTGATACTGATCATTCTCACTGTGTATATTTGCTCATGTCTTAGCTTTACGGTAAAAAGTCTATAGCAGGGGTGTCCAAACCTTTTAGTAAGAGTCAGTTTAGTAGGGCCACTTTAGTTCACCAAACTAGTCCAGGGGCCGACTGGCATCGGGCAGTTCTGAGCTTTAAAATTATTTATAACAGAGCTGAAGTTGGCTGAATGACAAATGTTTACCATCTCACCAGCTACATTAGCAACATTAACGTCATTGTGCAAATCAAGTCAACAACGTACTGGGTTTTATAACAAGGTCTATATTGGCTGAGCTGAAGTTGGATGGATGACACACTGAACTTGTGTTTATGATCTCAAACACTACTTTGAGCTAGCAAGGCAGAAGGCCGCATAAAATGACACTGAGGGCAGCATTTGGCCCCCGGGCCTGAGTTTGGACATGCCTGGTCTATGGAAATAATGTCTTTTAATTACCAGTAACTTTCTCACCTTTTATTCACTACAGCTCAGGAAAACACAAATGATGCTAAAAGAATATTCACCAACAGATGTTGGGACCAGGACTATGGATGTAAATCAGCTGGTGCTAAATCTGATGCAGTCATTTATTCTAATTCACTGCACATTGTCCTTGGAATAAACCAAATGAAACGTTAGCCGGTTACAGTTCCGCTCATGGCCACAGCTGAGGAAGTGATGCACATGTGTTTGGCCTTGTTCTCACCTCTGCTGTTTTGGTCGTGTTGAGATTTGTCCAGTTAATGTGAAACTGAACTCGCAGGTTAATTGCGTACAGAATGCCATTGACCCGGCGTCCTGATCCTGACGACATTCGTTGGTGAATTAGTGAGACGCTCGTGTGCGAGAGAGCACTGACATGCAATGGTTCAAACCTTATGTGAAAGTTTAGATATTCCTTTACTCGTCCCACAGTGGGGAAAATCAAATGTCATTGTTGCACACATTACAGAAAAAAATAAAATAACAGAAGGAAATAAGAGCACTCAGATTGTACAAATCAAAAAGGGTCTATATTGTTTAAGATAAAAGATAATACAATTTAGATAACAAAATAATAAGTATATTTGTATATTTTGTGTGCTCTGACTTCTGTCCTGTCTGTGTGCTGCAACATTGACATTTCCCCACTGTGGGACGAATAAAGAATATCTTATCTTTACATAAAAATATCCATCCATCCATATCTTCTTCCCCTTAATCCATTTCTGGGTCAGGGGGGTGACAGTCAGAGCTGCACCCAGTACCCAGAGCACCAGCCCCTCACTGATCCTCCTGCAGGTGCTGAGTCCACAGGAGCCTTGATTATTCAGCTGGGGCTTCAGGCAAAGTGGGGTTAAGTGTCTTGCCCAAGGACACAACGACAGCAGACATCAGTGGGAGTCATGAAGTAGGTCTTGTGGTGAGCTCGAACCCACGATCTTCAGGCTCTAAGGCCCTATTCATAAAAATAGAATAAAATGAAATCAGACTCTGCCGCTATGATCACTCTTGGTTCAGAGGTATTTGCTTAAAGGAGCTGTACCCGTTTCTGCAAGGTTTTAATGTTTAGCACCGCCCCCAACTTGCTCACAGGCTTCTCATTTCCCCTACGCTCTCATCCCACGGAGCCATCTAGTTTTATTTGTGATCTATATGCAAACAAAATATATAACTGAAAGATTACCGCCAGTTCCGCGTCCGAATGTGGTCCGAGCATAGACAGTCCGAGGCGGTCCCGCAGGTCTCTCCCATTGACAAGTCTCCAGAGGATACGATGTAAGCCAGTTACTGTATGTTCACCTGGGCTTGATTTCTTTGATAATTTTTTCGCTTTAGTTCCCTTTTCTCATCCTCACTGTTGTGTTGTTTGGGCTGTTTTGTATGAAGTTACAGCAAGAGGAGTTTTAGCCAATTCTGCTAACATGCTACTGTGTTTAGCAGCGCTGTAGAGGCTAGAGGACGCAGCCTCGTTCTGTGATTGGAGGAGAGCGGGCGTCACGCTAAGTCTCCACTCAGCACTTTTTACGGCCTGAATTCATACACAAGCTGAATCAATGAGCTCAAGTTTTCAATTACATTATGGATTATAATACAACTTGTATGTAGTAATAAGTAAGCATTTTTATGAACTCATTAAAAAAAACAAATCGGGTGTAGCATCTTTAATATGGCACAGAATGCATTGGTCACTGACATTGTAACCTTATTCCCTGGTGAGCCCGTAGACTGTATATATATATTTAAACAATCCGAACTCCCTTCAATGAATCCCAAAAGGGCTGGACTGTGTGTGTCACTCTGACAGTTGTGGGCTTATCGGATCTGTGTTTTAGTGCTGTCTCTGATCCAGGGGGTTTACATTCATATTGACGTTGTAAATCCAGATACGAGGTATAAATACGACCGATCCCATGCCTTCCTTGTTTGTGGGGGAACTCCAGCTCGCCTTAGCAACCGTCTTGGTAACGCGTCTCTTACGGCGAGAGGCAGAATAAATGCCCATCTAAGGAAATCGTCTCCAGCTAGCCAGTTATGTGATATATGTGAAAATATATGTTGTGCAGGGTCAAAATATAATAATTTAATTTAAAATAAAAATCACATTAGAGATTTTGGCCTTTAGTCATTGATTTCTGAGTCTATGTTGCTCCAAAATTCCTAAGATTCATTTAAACTTTTTCTTGAATAGCCCTAAATCGTAAACGGTAGTAATCTCAGAGGACTCAACAAAACCGTTGAATTTGCCAACACAGATTAGAGAATCAAACTGCTTCAAACACTGTGGAGGGGGGTGCAGCCATGAAACAACGGGTGAATAGCAATGAACAGGCTACAGTCAAAATCCTAATAATGCAGACGGATAACATGTTTTCTCCCCTGACGGCTGCTTATCCATTTTTTTACATGTTAGTTTTTCAAATGTTCACACCCAGAATTGCCACCATAGATGCGCTTTCAGGGACATTTGCTGATGGCTTTTATTCACAAAGCGAGAAATCAAGGTTTTTAATTAGCACGTCTACTTGGTGCCAAACTCGTGCACACATAAAGGATTATTACGTTGTTCTTTTCATGACTTCATCTCGTAGAGCTCCTCGTGTGGAGGAAAGCGCTCAGTTCGAAGCATTCTAAAGTTAAACAGGAATGGTAGAATGTGGCATGGTAGATTAAGATGTCATCAAGCAAGACAGTTGAGGCTAATGGGAGTGCGTTTGTGAAAATCCATTGTCTCTGTAATTATCTATAAACTTCTCTGGAGATGGTCCATAAATGTAAGATACTCAGATTAACTGCTTGGCTCTGGCCCATTCTTTATTTCATTCATTTCCAGTCATTCAATAGCTGCATTTGTTGGGGTATTTTATTTTTCTGTTGAACGCTTTTTTTGTATTAACATTGCAGCTTAACAATTTTTAAACACACAACTAACAACTTTTTCCAAGAAACCTCAAAGTGCTATAGAGTCAAATACAAAACAACAAAACAAAGCAAAATAATCAGAGGGAAATTAACAAAAAGATTCATAACTTCACCCACACTGCCTAGAATGAGTCTGGTGTGAGTGGTTGGTGGTGGTCAGAGGGGCTGATGGCACATACAGGTTGCCTCGCTTCTGTCAGTGTGCCCCAGGGCAGCTGTGGCTACAGTAGTAGTTTATCACCACTGTGTATGGAGTGAATGAATAATGACGTCTTTGAGTGTCCAAAACAGCCTAGCCTGGCCTTATCCAGCCGTACACTCCGCTCAATCATCATTTCCTGCATGTAACGTCTGGGTCTGGTCCCTGTGTTTGCGATTACAATCGGTTGAATTCCATCCGACCAATCAGCGAGTGCGGGAGGCGGGTGTTGTAGTTAGATGTGGGTGACGTCAAGAGTTTGCGACGAACGGACTGGTTGTAGTTTGGCAATGGCGAAGAATACGATAGAAAAGTAACCCGGTCTGGTTCTATCAAGAAATTGAAGCTGAAGCAAGAGGAATGTTTAGCAAAGATCGCTGGCAAAGATTGTGGCGCTACTCCCCACGGGCTCTGTTAGCGGCAAAGGAGATGGCTATATATAGGCTAAATGCTAACAACAGACTCGGGCGCATTACATACGTCACGGTAAACTCGGATCCAATCGTTTCAATCTGGAAAAAGAGTTAACCCCTCCCACCTGTTAACGGAGTCAATGGAGCACCTCCAGACCTTAGCACAAAATGTAATTTGTACTGTGGTGTGGTACGACCAGGCTAAAACAGCGCTATATAAAACCAATGTTGTATTATTATTATCATTATTATAATTATTAACGTGTATTGACCATTTAACTATCTATGTCAGCTTTGAGTCTTTTGAGGTTTAGGTGATAAGGTTCTTTTTTGTCTCTGATGGTAGAGCTGCCCATTCTCCTTGGCAAAAATCCCCCAGTTTCCATAAATTCCTAGGCCTTTGACAACTTCACACAACCACTGAAGAAGAGTAAAAAAGTGCCATCCAAAATATGGCTCTGGCAGGGCGTGTAATCGGCCGAGCACAACTGTTTGTCAGAGATATACATTATTTATTGTGTGCTGAATCTACTGAAACAGTCTTTGTTTACTATGGTCTGACGCACATCCATCCACCTGCAGCAGAGGTGTGGTCTCCCCCCGTCCCTGACCTCCGTAATGCCCCTTTCACAGTATGTCCTGGGGGCCGCGTGGGGGTTGTGTGGGGGACGTGTGTGGCGAGGTGACAGCAGGCCGCCACCAGACAGCTTCAGAGTTAAGAGTCAGTGATGTCTGACCCGTGTGAACCATGCCTCCCCATTTATAGAGCCGGAGCAGACTCGGGGCTGTCACGGCTCCTCGTGTCCCTGTATGTGTCTGCAGACGGGCCGCTCCACTCAACACCCTGTCACCGCTGCCTCCTGAAGCACCCACAATGCACCACGCAACACTTTTAGAAAGATGCATAACCCGCGGTATATTTGGCCCTCCATAGACAGAGAAAGTTTTACATCCTTGTCTGGCTTTTTCCTTGTCCAACCTCTTTCTCATCCAAACCATAGATTGTAAATATTAAGTCCAAACGCACAATATTAGTAACGCTCCATCTTCAATGACACCTGATATTATGAAATTGTTTTGACTTGAAGATACTGTACCCAATTTTGTTCCATGTATTTGAGTAAAAATGATGTGTTATGCAATGTCCCAGTGCAGTTGTTGTTGAAGTTGTTGTTGTTACTGTGTTTTAGACTGGATCATATATACTATATGTTTATACTATACTGTGATGTTTGGGTCTCTAAATGTTGTGAAAATGCGTTTTCTTTGCATGAAAGACAAATAAGGATGTGAGGAATGTGTCAGAAAAGAACGAATAAGCTAGGGTTGCAACTAATGGTGTTAATCAAAATAATTGTGTGCTTACTTGGGTAAAAACAGTAAAGGCACAGGCCATTTATTTGACGAAACGCATTTTTGGACTGTGACATTGCAGTGAATCCTCCATGAAGTGTGTGTCCCAGTAATGGTCAAAAGTGGAATCGGCCGAGCAATGGTGACTTGAACGTAGGCGACCAGCAGACATCGCTCTAAAAATATCTTTTATGGGATGAGAACATGATATTCCAACCTTTTAAATAATCCATCTTTTTCTAAAATGAAGGTCAGATAGATGTGTGCTTTATGTAAACCTATATTTTCACTTGATCTTGGAACCAGAGTCGTGTGTTTGCAAGTGCCTTTCTCTGCGATGCGTTTGTAATCAGACAGAGGCTGGATCCTGCTCTACATTAGACTCACAAATGGAGCAGAGTCGCTCAGAAGACCTTGTGTGGGAGGAACCAGAGAAAATGAAGGAATCACACAATCAAGTGTACAGTGTACCTGCTCTGTTTGTAGACAGGACATGCTGTACTGGACTGTGCACGCGCTCTTCTCTGCTTTGTGCCATAACGGAGACAAAGGAGCTCTTCTATAAGACAGAAATAAAACTGTCTGACATTAGGTGTTGCATAAAAATCTCTGGAAACGAACGTCCTTTAGTCTTCGTCTTTTTAAAGCAGGAGAATTTCTAATATTGCAAACGTTTCCCTTCTTATGCAATTGATAGAGATTTCACTGAGATACTGCTTTATATAAAGGTTTAGTGTCTTTCTAATGTGGACTGTTTACTTTGTGCGGAACAATATAAGGTGTGTGTGCGTTCCACATAAAATCTGACCTTTCATAATCTCATCGGAATGTTGTTTAAGTTAATAATTCAAGTAATATGTGGCTAAAATAGACTGTTTTGTAATTGACTTTGGCGGAAAGGCTCCAGTCTGCCTGGGCTGAGTTTGCATGCTAAACACCAGAGGAAGCAGGCTTTTGAACATGCTAATGAGGAAGTTCTTGTCAATTGTTCTTTGCTCTGTGGGTTTTCCTTTCCTATCTGCATATGAAGCTGTGTCTTGTAGTCAAAAAGGTACTTGCAGACTGTAAAATATTAACTCTGTCTGTTGTGTGAGATTTTTGTCAGGTTTAACTGTGGTTGAAACAGCACATAAGTAAAATCATTGATAATCATTTATAGCTTCACTTCAGCATCATTCTTTCCACGTTTACTTTGCCCTTTTGTGCCTACCGTACATCTGAATGAACAGTGTGTCTTTGTTTGTTTTCCAGAGTATGCAGAGAGCATCGGTGATGGGAAGATTGAGGAGTTTAAAGAAGCTGAGAAGAAAAGGATCATGGAGCTTTTGGACTCTTTCTAATGCCACATGTTGGACTCACACAATGAATGCAGCAACCTTTGAATTGAAAATACTTGACTGTCATTCCACACGCCTCAATAGTTTTGTTTTTTTCCATGTCATGTATGTTGTAGCTGTCGTGTTGCTGCTTTTATTCCTTTCGTTTAGAATATCAGTTACTATTGTTTACTTTGACACAAATAAAACACAAGAATTATTAAGGACGTTTACAAACACAACATCACATCACTTTTTTTGGATATAACTAAATGTATAATGAATCAATCATTCATGAACACGTGTGGACTCGTGTGGAGACTGAAATGGACTTTCTCTTCATTTCAGTGAGTATTATTACTGCTTGAACAGATCTGCGTGTAGTGGATTTAATCTGAAATCGACGTCCAAATCTATGAACCAAAAAATGGTCAATTATTTCATGTTAAATTTCTCCTTAGAATACCTTTATCTGCTGAATCCTGGACACTTTCTGTAGGTGAACAATAGAATGAATCTAGAAAAACACCAAAAAGTGAATCTAAAGTGTGAAACTAAATATGATCAGGCTTGACAGAGGAACATGTCAAGCCTTTGTTTGCATTTTGGTTTTTATGACGCACAGGGTGGAACTTTGAACCGGCAACACAGTCCCTCGTCACACAATCCTATACTTGGGGTGGGTGATATGGACAAAACTAAATATCTCAATTTTATTTTTCCAACTCCCTATAACGATATTGTCACGATATGTTTAAAATCAATCATTTTTACACAAAATGATCTGTAATGTTTTGCTGCCAGGGCATCTATAGATAGACAGTGTAGATCTAAAGAAGCTTCACACTTCTTTAAAGTAACACAGAAAGAACACATACAAAAAGGCTAACTCAATATTTACTGAAATGTACAAATAAAGCAGTGATTGGCTTTTTAGGCACACATTAGCCGAACGGGCATCTGTCCTTCTCAAATTGTAATATGTATGTAAAAAGAAAAAGGACGATAACACAAAAAAGCATATCTTTAAAATTGACTTTCACAATATTATTGTCTACGATATATTTTGCCCACCCCTATCCTATACTTGTGAGATTTTTTCCCCCAAGAAAATTCAGTCTGTCTAAAAACCTTTTACAGACTGATTCCAGTTATAAAGGCTCCACAGAAGACCTCCCTCTGCCCTGGCACAGTGTGGTGGACTGTTTACTTTGTGTGAAACTACAAAGTGTGTGTGTGCGTTCCACATACACCCTGACCTTTCATAAGTTAAACCAACGATAATCATTTGATGGCTTTACTCCAATGTCATTCTTTCCACTTTTAAATTGCCGCCTTCGCACAAACTAATCCTTCCAGGTAAAAATCTATCAAAAGCTATTATCTTTGCGGTCTACTTTAAAGCCCTTTATCTGCAGTTGGAGCCGTTCTTGGTGCCAGTGGATTGAAAAGAACCACATTTTTGTCCTGACCCAAAATAACTCCTTCAACTGCAGTTTTGGAAATGGATAAGATAAGATAAGCGATCCTACATATTCTACAACGCTGATGCTTGTGTTTGTAAATGTGCTCCGTCGAATACAAAATGTTACAAAATGCTAATGCGACAGTGCTGGTATTTTGCCTCCGTAATCCCGAACATATTGTGTAAACACGCGCGCCCCATCTCACCTGTTTGCTTTGGATTTTCTTGTAAGATATTTTCTAATAAAATATTTGCTAAGAAAGCTGCAAGCTCGCACGGGACATGTTTGATGAATGTGGTGGTTTATGGGGATTGCCAGGGCTTGTTTGTAAGCGCTGGTGCATACGAGTGTCATTAGGAGCTGATTCTCCTGGTTACTGTTGCACAGACGGAGACTTGTTGACTGGAACCTGCCCACGACCGGAGCCACATTCTCTGCTGCTGAGTGCTGAGGCTCTCACTGTGGAGGAGGGATACAGATACACAAGTCTGCTCTGTCTGGCACATCGATTAACAAGATATCTCAATATACGCACCACAAAATTAGATAAGATTAGATTGACTTTATTGATCTCACACAGGAGAAGGGTACATTTCACATCTGGCATGGATAGAAACACTCAAGATGGTGCAAAAGAAAGAAAAGAAACGGTGTCAATAGTAGTGCAGGTTTTTTTTAGTCCTAATGAAAGTGACTAGTGCTGTCATATACTGTCATTGGTTATATATTAAAGTGCTGAAAGGAAGTTGGTTTAGGTTGATGATTTAAATAGCGCCATTTGGACACTCAGACTCATCACACCGAATTATTGATTCACTTTGTATATGGTGATAAACTACTACTGTAGCCTCAGCTGTGACAGAAGCAAGGCAAAAAGTAACTGCTATCGGACCCTCTGACCACCACACACACACACACACACACACACTCACACACACGCATACACTCACACACACCAGACCAGGCAATATGGGTGTAAGTAAGCCATCTCTTTTGCCCATGAGCACATAAATAAGAAACCTGAGATATTATAGAATATTACATTCAAAATGACTTTTTGCTTCTTGTGTTTGTTGTTTGTTAATATAGACAAAGATATTGGATCGCTGAAAGATCATGGCCAATGTTGTCACCGACAGAGCAGCCGTCCTCCTGTGGGGAAGAAAATGAATGGATATTAGATTGTTGATTACCATGTGACTGACACAAGTAAGCCGACTGGATTAAGACATAATTAGTACATTGTCTGAACTGGGGGGCCGCTGCTGTAGGAGCCATGTGTCATACCTGAGATTGAGATGTCTTTGCCTGAATAATAAAAGGACGGTGTGTTTTCAGAGTCATATTTTTAAGAATGATCAAATGTATGTGGTTTTAAATTAAAAAAGTAAATGCCTCGACTCTGTGAAAATCATGCTGCTGAGTGCCTCCATGGACTGAGTTGTTAAAAACCATAGAGTGTGCGATATCGCTGCAATACTCATGAACCTTTCCTTCACATTCCGCTCTGCATTCCCGCTTCCCTGAATCTCATCTTTGTAATCTGAATAAGTAGCGTGCTGTATTCTTGAGCATGATCTTCACGGGAGGCCAGAGCGAAGTGTACCGACAGCTGTCACATCTGCCTGCGCTCCCTCCTAACTCCAGCATCACTTAGTAACGAGACGGGCAGAACAGTGGGGCGCTCTGCATATCCTATTGGCTCCGAGGCCTGGCCCCGTGCATCTCTTATCAGTGATTATGACTGCGGCGTGTTAACAGCTCCTACAGCAATTTCACAGACCAGGGGAGGCCCAATAATTGTATTTTCCGAGTGGCTGGGTGCAAACTGTGAGCTGGTGGGATGTAGGCGTATCTTATTGTTGGGAAAGAGAGGGTTTTCAGACGCAGTGAACACAGAGTGGAAAGCTGAAACTATTATTGCAGGATTGAACTCATGCTACAGAACCATGGATGAATCGTTTCTGTACCAATATTTACGGCCTTTTACCATGTGGTTCATTACTGTATGTTCTGATCAATATCTGTTGAAGGTGAGAGAATGAGTCTGTGTGTGTGTGTGTGTGTGTGTGTGTGTGTGTGTGTGTGTGTGAATGGTGGGTGGTAGAAATTCTGGCAAATAATAATTTAAATAATAAATGGTTACAAACATGCAAATAAAAATTGTAAGAATATCTAATAACCTCACTAAATTTGAATATTTGATTAAAAATAATACCTCAGTTTTATACAGCGCTTTTTTGGACACTCAAAGACGCTTCACATGTCACTTTTCTTTCACTCCATACACGGTGGTGATAAAATACTACTGAAGCCACAGCTGCCCTGGGGCACACTGACAGAAGTGAAGCAACTGACCACATGCTTTCAAGTGATCACAGGACCTCTGAGATATCTACATACTCTTCATACTCTCCTCAATTCTCTTTGCTCGTTCATGAGAAAGGCATAAACAACTTTTGTTATGGAAATGATCAGACTGCTTAGATATAAAAAAGTAGATTTAATATATGATACAGAATAAATGCAAATTGACAGGCTGAAAGCTTCAGCCTGGGTCTCGCTAAGCTGGTATAGCAGAATGACCTCGATGCGTAGGACTCTGTTGATTTTGTACTGCAAGTTACATGATAATTTGAAACATGTTCACATGACCTATGATCTCGACTCAATAACACATTCCTCTTCATCAGTGTGGCCCCTTATGATAACACCAAGGGCTGCCTTTCCTGTTTTTCAAGGTAGAAGTGAATGTGCAATAGTCAAAGAAAAAAACGATCATATACCACAATATGATTTGAGAAATACAGAAAAACATATTTTTTGAGAGCCACATTCTGCTCTGTGATTGGATTATCTTCTTGCCTTTTGTCCACAAAAGGCAACATGTGATTTTGACCCATTATCTGGGCACACGTATACATGATGCAGATGTATATATTTTTTTATTTAAAAGATGACATACGATTCTTTGGTCAAAAATTTGAGAAGCAGCTTTGTCTGTTTAGGGCAGTGTTTTTCAACCTTTTTTGAGCCAAGGCACACTTTTTTCACTGAAAAAATCTTGCGGCACACCTCCAGGAGAAAATGTAAAAATGTATACAGTACTAATGTAAAAAAATATATACTGTACATACTCTGTGTGATATATAAAGTTTATCTTATCTTATAATGTATACAGTATACTCTGTAGCCTATATTCACAATATACAGTTATTCTCATCAAAATGCTTAAGTCCAGGCCTTGACATTAAGCTTTATTTAATATTTCTCGATACAATTAACAAGAGTTTGGGAATAAAGTGGCACTAACTGTGTGGAAAAAAACTAAGAAAATCCACTCTCTGCCCAAATAGTCAAATAATAACTCACACAAAGAACATGCATTGTTAGTGCATGGGAAAAATGTAGGTATCCGAGCTTTAAATTCAGGAGTTTTGGATGAGGGACACGGGAGGTCCTGAACGCGAGTCCATGGTTCTGTCCGGTCCGCATGTCTGTGGTTCTGTCCACTCGACTATGGTCTGCGCTCGGTACCCAGTTCAGAAGTGCGTTCGC